AAAATATTGTGGTAAATAAAAAAATTTTTGAATTTTATAGTTTTAATTATATTTAAAATTTATTTTTTTAATTTATTGCTTTTTATACTTTATAGCACATGCACATCAAAATCAAAATACTATTTGCCATGGTCGTATTATTAAAAAATCATGTAAAGTTGAATTCTATAAAATTGTACTATTGGATCTTAAAGAATGCCCATTCGTAATTTTTATCTAAAGGAATATATACACATCCACCTCTACTACCTGTTCGAACACCAATTAATATTAAACAAAGACTTCAAGCTCTTGTTTGTCAAGCAAATGCAGATTTATTAGATATTACTCCAACTCATATTATAACAGGTAGTATTATAAATAAAATTAATGAGTCAATAATAAATATAATATATTTGGTAAATTAAATCTATTTAGTTTATTTATATATTTTAATATTTATTTTTAAAATATTAGACAATTTAATTAAAACCTACTTTGGAGTAGAAAATTTATGTGAGGTTCATGTATCTCTTAATGATACTGATAAATTACGTTATTGTATCAATAAAATTCAAAAAGAAAAGCATCTATTCGGTCAAGATTTATTAGGAGTAATATATAATTTTTCATGTAATATCAATAATTTTCGAAACTATGTTCAGCGAATAAGTAAGTATTGTAAATTATTATTTTAAACTATATATTTTATATTAATTAATTTTATAACAATAGATGTTTTTAATGACGGCCATATAATAGTTACCTGTACAACACAAATCCAAATACAAAAATGGGCTCAATGTGATTATTTTGAAATTGACCTATCATTTAAGTGAGTTGCAGAAGATATAAACGAATTTGAAATAAATTATTATGATAAAATTCCAAATACAAGTATTATATATTTATTATATATATTTAATTTAATTTATTTAAATTTACATAATATCTATATATTAATTACTAATTTATAAATTTAGTTTTAACATTTGTTAGAATATTTACTAATTAAGCTATACAAGCGAATGTTTAAAATTCTTTTTGATCTTATTAAATATTTTACTGGACAACCACTAAAATTTAAGCATATTTACAGAGATGGTTGGAGTTGCATAATTGGTGATTTGGATTTAGCACAGATAATTGGATTAGGTGAAATATTAGTTTTTATTGATAGCTCATATAGTTGGGAAGAACATTTAATATATATTTATAAATCATGCCAAGTTCACTTTAAAAGGTAAATTAATTAAAAAGTAAATTGTAATTAAAGGGTATATTATATACAAATTAAATAATAAAAAATATTAGAAATTAATATAGTTTTTTATAAAATTGAAATGAGCCAACTTATAATAATATTTGTACCCTTCAATTACAATCTACTATATATTTAAATTATCATTATAATAATTATATAATTATAATATATAACTGTAATAATATATATATCTAATATACAAAAATTTACATGAAAAAAGATTTGCACCTGAAATTAAAATGGAAATAGAATCTTTATTAACAGCAACAGCAGAAAAAGTAGATATTATTTTTAATAAGTTGCTGGTATCAAATGAAAATATTATCGGTAAGTAATTTATACAGTAATTAAATATATGAAATTATTTTTTTAAAAAAATAAATAATTTAATTTTTTTTAAATAGATTGGGTTCAATTCTATCAAAAATCATATATTATTGCATCTCTCAATCTGAATATTTCAAAAATTTCTCATAATGATTGGCATGCGGCATCTAATAGTACAAATTATGTAGAAGCAGCACATGCTACAAGCAATCGGGAAGAAAAACAGCTTAAATTAATGACTGCAATATTAAGGTAATGTATATATAAGTTTTTGTAATTTTGTTAAAAAATTTTAATAAATTTTTAAATTTTAGAGAACAAAGATTGGATATGCAATATTTCAAAAGAATAAAAATTAAAAACAATTATAATATTGATCTTAGTGGACATGACAAAAGTAGTATTAAACGAAAAATTTCAGCAATTAAA